TGGAATAGATTCCTTCCATATGTTTGCACCAGGTTAATCTTGGCCCTCCCCTGGGCCTTTTGCCGGTCGGTTGGACAACAGCTGTTTCGCCTTTTTTCTCGAGGCATTCGCAACTCATGCTGAAACCATCTGAAGAAGCAGAAGCTGTACACCAAGGCTCTCTGAGTTGAAGTTAGCAAGGCACGGAATGGTAGGTATGTTTGGTCTGCTACAAAAGCAACGCCGAGGTTAATCAGCCAGTGAAGCAACTGATTCAGAAGCGACAGATGCTGGCTTCGAGTCCAGGTAGAGGTTACTTGCCTTTCTTCCTCCGAGGTTGATAAGCGAGCGCCACTTTGTGGGAAGCAACTAGACAACCGTTCGCTATGCTGCGTACAGCTGGTGTCGCATCTGCCTTTAAAACAAGGAACTGCTGGCAAATGAAATGAAATGGATATCAGCCCCTAGCAATAACTTCCTGAATGGAAGAACTCCAGAAGTGTTCGCATAATGAAAGTGTAAGGAAGACTAACATTTGAATGGTTAAAGGCTTTTCTTTCTTCTCCTTTGACATAGCATCATGCAGAAGTAGTTTCTGTTAATAGCTTAAGGGAAAAAATACAAAGCATATGGACAAACTTCCGTATTACTTGAGATCCTTCTCTACCAAGGATCTTGGCTAAAACGAAACTTTATTCGTTGCATTTCATACATTGCTAGATTAATCCGCTACTGAAAATAACATGATCCTTTCGCAAAACGAACAGGAATCTGACATTCCATAATTTGCCTAATAAATTCCGTTAAGAAGAAGAATTTCATTTGCACATTTGTCGTTTCTCCGGATTGGCATGGCCGTCGCATCTTCCTCCTGCTCCTGCTGACAGGTTAAACCGTTACGCAGGTCACGGTTAAGTAATACTGTACCATCGGCAGAACACAGATGCAAAACCACATCGCTGTCTCCAGTCGAGCAGAAATAATCAACTCTGTTTATAAATGCCCAGTATTATGGACATTGTCTGTCTGTAAAACTATTCTCCAGTTTGATCGTTGCATCAGCATCAGCTCATATATTCTTTTCATATGATAGAAATACTAAATGAGGTATGAATCTTCCAAGACCGCATTTCACGACGTATTTCTCCATGGCCGAGCGAGGTCATTTAAGCAGGCCATTCCTCCACGGTATTCGAACACCTGTAGTGTTAGATACATCTCGTATCAGTGAGGTGTGATCAGCTTGAGCCATCTGTATAAGCAGAACATCTTTCATGGTGGCCTACCGGCTCCTGAAATCATCATTAGCAACGAAATGGGCTCGCTCAAGCGAACAAAACAATGAGTGACGTATTGAGCATCGGAAGAGCTCAAATGAG